AAGTAAATGTCAGCCTAAATGATTTAAATAATACAAATGCTTCATGCTGACAGGGAGCAGCACAAAAGCCTGAAGATACCTCACCTGGTCATTGAAAATTGACTTAGCCACTTGACTAGCTTTCATTTATAGAAACCATATTTACATGCTTCTTCTAATGTCTTGGTTGCAAAATCCCTTGACAATTTTTGAACTTGAGAAGAACGAAGTTGAAAAGTTATCCTGCCTATATAGTTTGAGCTGGTTTTGATCTTTTTTTTTGAACAGCCTGTCAACGTTAATCTGCTCAAATCTTCACTTGGCTTTCTAGTTCAGAGCAAAAAGTCAGGCTAAGCTGAAAATACAGCAAAGCTACTTTGAGTAGGGAAGGAAGAGAGAAGAAGAAGGAAATAACTATCTCTGGTTGGGCTTGGTCTCACATTAACATAACTAAAGTCACCTGCTGCCAGATTCAAGTTGCTTTAATGTCTGTGACTTCTAAAAATCCATTTTCAACAGGGATAAAATCTAAGCAAGTTGTGTTTGCCTTGTTGCAGCTAGCCAAAAAAACCTATCTTACTTAACTTTTTAAAAAAGGCTGAATTTTCTTTTTTTCCACTAGAACAGAGTAAAAAAATCTTAGCTGTTTTTCTTAGAAAGTAGTTTCAGTTCAGGGCCATGGGAAGATATTAAAAAGAGCTCCTACAAATGGAGTGGGTGTTTTACAAGTCCACATGAAGATAAAATCATCTCCACTGGCACAAATTCACATTTCTCAGTTTTAAGTATCTCTCTTGGGTGACTGAGATAGGAGTTTAGGTTTCATCCATAGTCTTCAGTGTCTTGGAAATGGAGCCTGAGCTCTCCGAGGCTATGTTAGGGCTTCAGGCTTGTCCTTGTCCCCAATCCCAAATCATGCAGCTCCAGTGACCACTGCTGAAGCCCACCATCACTCAATGTCTATCGGGGAAAGCATCCCCTGATTTTCATTCCATGCAAAAAGGTGCTGGGCAGAGGCGGTGTTGCTCCAGCCCCCCTGTGAGAGGACATGGCTGGAGAACATCGCTGCATCCTGCCCTTGGGATGCACTGTGAAGTGTCAGTTTTGCCCCTTTGAGCCAGCACTGACCTCTCTGAAGAGTTTGTGCTCCTAATTTGGGCACATCAGTAAGCTGACTGATAAACTGGAGATTGATTCATAAACGCATAATCACAAAGGACGATTTTGCTGTTGGATGTGGAGGCAATAGCAGGTATTTGGCACCTCGTTATCAGCATCTGACACAGTGCCACACTTGGTGGCAAAAGTTAGCACATGACAGAGGCTGTGGGACGGTGTCCACCCCTCAGTCCCTGCTATGACCAACCTTGCCAATCAATATTAGTGAAGTCCCAAATTCAAATGGCTTGTGGCATTGGGTGGGATTTTCTCCAAGGTATCAGCACACAGACCACTGCCGCAGGGACACTTCTGGCTGAGAGGAGCAGAGAACCCAGTATTTCTAAAAAGTACTGAAAAGAGTCAAAACCTCATCCTTATGAGCTACCAAAGTGGGAAATGAGCTCATTTGACTCTCCAGTCACAACTCCTTGTGCTGAACTCTCTGTCTTCTGAGGAAAAGTGAGGAGAATTTGGCCATTATTGCTCAGATCAAATAATATAAGAAACAGCAATAAATGGATCTATGTTAACTTTCTTTAACTTAGAGCAATTGAAACGACAGATTCATTTTTAGCAATTAAAGTAAAACTGGGGAAAAAAAATAAAATTTTCAGGTTCCTATTTCCTGTGGAGAGGTGGGATGACAGAAAAGTGACATGGGTCTCAGTGTTGCTGAAGGGAGTTACTGGGTATAAAAAAAAAAAAGGAGAGGCCTGTACAGATAGCATATGATTGGTATATCAGGTAAGAAAGCAGCATATAAATATAGAAATGACTGTTTCTCTTTATTTAGTGAAAAACCGTCTGACCCAGCATTACTTATTTGTTAACTTAAATATTTTTCAGCTGCCTTCAAGGAAGTTTAGATGACTGAGAAATTACTTTGGGCTGCTTCTTATGGATGTGTGTGGAGCCATGACCTTGGCAAGGACCTGCTGTGGTCCCTCTCGGCAGCTCCCTCATGCCTTGGCTCTGCGAGGAGCAAGCTGGACCCTGTATTGCCCAGGCAGCTGCTTTCTTAGGTGTAAGTGCTAGTTATGGTCAAGAGCCTAATCTTTCCTCCTGCCTTTGAATTGCTCAAAATGGAATTGCTTTTTAGCTTCTCATCTGTGGTTTGGGAAACGGGAGATTTCCTCCTGTGAGGATACGAATTCATCTCTTGTCATATTAAGGTACTATATTTTGTTATCTTAAGAAACAAAGTGTGGCAGAAAGTATTCTTGTGTACTCATTTCACATTTTACGTAGTGTTTTACTCCCAGTGAGAACAAACCTCCCTTGCATTTCTATCCCCAGTGACAATGTCTAAGTGAGCTGTGAGCACCACCTCTTCCTCGTAATAGTCACTGCATAGGCCACAGATAAGAGTTTTTCCTTATCTCTATTTGTCCACATAGGTACTGCAGGAATTTTGGAGGCAAAAGTGTTTTTTTCAGACCCTCCCAGCTGAAAGTTAAAGGGCAGCTCTACAAAGCACCCAGAAGCTGACTGGTAAGCAAAGTTGTCCAGAAGAAAATAGCTCAGACTAACTGACTGAGCCTCCACTGTACATATGCTGAGAATACTGCACAACCCTTTCGGAAAAGGCAGGACAAAGTCCACATGTTGAATAAACATTTTCTTACTGAACTATTAAGAGTATTTTACATCTTTAAACCTGAAAGACTGCTAAACTAAATATCATTTGAGGAATATATACATTTGTTTATTATAGCATTTATCAGCTAGGAAACTAATCGGTTCATGTTCATTTCTATTCAGTTACACTATCAGGTGTTCTTTTAGCAGTACAGTGCTTTAGGATTTGTATATCACTGTCTTAGAGAAATTATTAAACTCACTCAAAATCCCCTAAAAAAACTATTTGCCTCTATATTAAATTTTCTAACTCATTTAATCAACGTTAATTCCAAAATCTGATAGCCTACTATAGCTTTTAAATTCATCCTGTATGACATCATTGACCGTATGCCGAACAAACAACATAAATTAAAAATAAATCACTCAGCAGTTTGTCAGTCGATTCAAGGACTGCCAAACTGACCTGGTACGAAATGGAAGTATTTAGAGAATCTCTGTACAGCTGGGAGTTTGCCATGTGCTTGACCTAAGGGAGGTGTCATGCTTGCAGAAAAAAAAAAAAATCTTTATTATAATTGTACTTACCGATACAAATATTATTACTTTATGTCATCAAGAAACACCAAAAGCCTGCATGGAAAAATTCTTGGCAGCATATGCCAGCATGGTAACGTGGCTCAGCTGTACCACTGGCCTCCCAGGCAATAGCAATCACCTGGCCGTACCCCACAGGAAGCAGCAAACACTAAATATTTTACAAATCTTGGAGCTGTTGAAATAAGTATACGTGTTGAAGACAAAGGATTATAATTAGAGGGATAAGAAAGCCTAGGAAATAATAATATTGCCAGAACTCACCATTTAGCACTATGGCACAGACGTCAAGGACTGGTGTGCCAGCAGCAGGCTTAGCTCCCCTGCCCTCTGCTCAGCTAGGGCTGAAGTAACGTTATGCAAAGTATTTCTGTAGGTAGCCAAATACATAACATTATCTCTATTTAAGAAAGCAAGAACAAAACTGAAGGGATCTGTATAACTGCTGATCATTGACTGATCTCTTATAATTCGAAAAGGCATTTTTAGAAAGGAAAAAACCCAGAATTCTTCTTCCCATTGTATCTTGCGAAAATCTGAAAAGGGCAATTTTATTAGGCTTTCTCAAACCTCAGATAAACTCCAAATGCTTATAAAGGTGGATTAAATAAACTTGTTGGAGTAGCGGAGCAGTTTAACTTTGTAACACATGCAAATTTTTAAATAAAAAAGAAAATATTGTGGTTTTTTTCTAAAATTAGAATTTTAAATTCCATAACCAGAAAAGCATCACTAGCAGTTCGTACTCGCATCAAATTTGTATCAGAGAAAAGTAAAGTTTTGTTTGTGTAACATTGTCAGACAAAATAGTAACTATACAAATTTAAGAAAGAAAATAACTTATTTATGCCAAGCTAGGGGAAATTAGCATAAGGAATGACAATTGAAGGAGGATTATGTGATGTATTGCAGGTTTCAACCAACTAAAAATAGAAAAGCTGTACAAGCCATAAAAGTTGCACAATCTACAACTTTTGGTTCCAGTAACATTGTGTTTGCAATCTTTGACTACAAATGGAGTTGCTTTCTGAATCTGGAGATAGATCTTCTGGGGCCATAATTAATATAGACAGTCCCGAGCTTTCCAAATGAGTCAGACATTTTAAATTATAACCTGAGATATGATATGATATGATATAGGGCTTAATATTATGAAATTTTTATAAAGTCATTTATTGATTGCCTTCCAGTCTTTGAGCTCGGTTCGCATTTTCAATATATGTTCCAGCACCCTGAGGCATTTTAATACTGGAAATAAAGATTACTGTATAACCAATGCAATACTAGCAATGGGGGGGTTAAAAAGGCAGGCAAAATTCCAGATGAATATTGTGACACACTCAGTATGGTCATAAAAGTCAGTGGTGCCTGCTGCAGAGTTCCTTGTTATGCTAACTCATAAACAGAGGATGCTTACTATTAACTCATTATGCTAAGAAAAAAAAAAAAAAATCAGGGAAAATAATGTACATTCAGGATGTCCTTGGTAATCCTCAAGTGTTCCTGAGGGCTTTGACAGTTCTGCAATTCAGTGGAGCTTTCGAAAGACAAGAGACACATAAGTCATTTTGGTCACCTCCTGGAGCTATTGCGGCAGCATCTCCTGAATGTTTTTTACGCAGGAGTGCAGCTCCACCTGGAAGCTCCTGCACGTCAGTCAGCCAGCTGGGGGTGTGGAGTAATACCTGTGCCGAGGGATGCTTCCAGAGCAGGGGCTTCGCTAGAATCTAGGTCCGGAGGGGGGAGGAGGGAGTTGAGGATGGAGGTGTCCCTGTGCCATCGCTCTGCTGCTCCCACCCGAGGCTGACTGGGGTCCCTCCTGATCCCTAGAGAAAAGATAAGGCTCAGGGGCTGCACGTGAGGACAAACTGGGAAGCAGCATGTTCTGCTTGCTCTGCCTGCCAGCAGGCCAGCTGCAAAACACAGACTTCCAGGCTTCAAGTGGCTTGAAAATACTTATATGTTTTAATTTAGAGATTCTCATTGACTCTATCCACGTGTCCAAAGCCATGACAGAGCAGAGTGACCTGAAGAATCCAGAATACACTAGGAGACATATTTGCAAGTATCCAGCCAAAAAACCCAGCCACAACAAGGGAAGAGAAAAGCTGGTAGTTAGTGCATTAGATTCTTCACTGAGTGGACTAGTTCTGCAAAATATGTGCAATGCAATGCAGTAAAATGATGAAATGACAGCAGAGATGTAAGACGTCCAGCTTGGCCCAGCTATTAGTCACACTGCACGCAGTCTACAGCCCTTTAGCTGCTCAGTGAGAATGTGTGATGCTCTTGGCTGGCCAACCTGGGCAATCCACAGAACAGCAACAGCTCCATACAGTTTCTTTCACAGGCCACAAAGCAAACAAGGGAAGTCTGGGGACATGGTGACAACTCCAAATGCCATGGAGGTATAGTAGTAGACATGGAGAGAACTGGGAACATTGCTACTGAAAAGCTGGGGATGTTGCAGGCACATGGGACACAGAGCCATAACACTAGAGTGAGGTGAGGTCTCACATTGATAAAAGCTCATTCATGCCTTTGATTAGTTTGCATAAAAAACCAGAATTTGAATCCAGCTTGTGGGTTTCCTGAATTCTGCCCTGACCTTCTCTACTTTGCAGCACAGTTATGGTATAAGCAAAGTTCAGCAGGTCAAACCCACTTCAGAGACAGCTAGCATGGAGAGATCTGAACCAATGGATCTGAGCCATGGTGTGTCCATGCAGGCTCAGTGACAGGACTGGCAATGCCAGCAAACTTCTGACAGCTATGAGACCATGGAATTCTTTCCTTTGGCAAAGCATCTGGTCAAGGAGAACACGGTGTTCTAGAAAGCTGTGATCTTTTTAAAGAAAACGTTAAAAATTTTGTTCAAGTCTACAGACTGACTGTTATTTAAATAATTTACATAGCTCTCCTAATAACAATGTAGTCATACCGGGGAAACTACCATTTAAGGAATAAAGTAGGACTACCACAGTGTCCAAGTTAATAGCAGTTACAACTGTGTGTGGCACATTTCTCCATTATTTCTTAACAAATTGTGTGTGAATTCTGGCAAAATAGTAAATATCAACGTGATATTTGTGGATTTACTTTGTCCTTGCTCTGAATTGAAAGAATGAGTTTTATTGGACTATGAACAACACAAGTTTAGATAAAATAATGGAAAGTTAATAGCTGTAATCACAGTTAAATTAGTGCAAACACATTAAGTAAAATTTGGCTTTATAAGAAAAGTAGATTCTTTTCTAGATAAATAATTTTCTTGAAAACTTGTTTAAGAAACTTCAGTATTGAACAACTAGTTCTAGGAGAAAGTTGAGCAATTAATCATGTATTTATTTATGTATTAATAATAGAAAACTCTTCCTGCAAGTGCAAGAACTCAGGTTATTACACTGTTATACCTGCAAGCTCTGAATCACATCTGATGTGACCATCTACAAAAAGCAAAGTAGAGCTACTTTGTTTGAAGCATATGAGATTTACAGAAAATAATTGTTCGCCCAACAAAAACTTTGTCCTTCAAAAAAAGTCAGTGAGAATTTTCTCATCAGTTTGAACAGAGGAAGGATCAAGGTTATCATCTTTGAAAGTTAATATGCAACTATCTAGAGCTGATAAAAGAAAGTGTGCCATGTTTTCACAATGAAGAGCTTCAGTGCAATTCACAAACTAAGAAACAAACAATAGTTTTCTGTCAATCAGCTCATAATAACTATTAATATTACAAAAAAGGTGTATCAGGGCTTAACGGGCCTAATTCTGATCTCACTTGTCTTGATTCTTCTGAGTTTAAAGAAGTTCCTCTAGATTTTCATCAGTCTAAATGAGATTAAAGTCTGATGCACTGAATGCAAAAAAAAAGATGTTGTTCATGATTTGCAAAAAACTTGTTCACTGGAGACATGGGTTGAAAATAGGCCCTTAAGAGTTCTTTCCCTCCATTATATATTGTTTTAAAGCCATCTTACAAATGTACGAACACAGGACTTCAGGACTTAAGTTAGAACTTAACGACTTAAGTTAGAACTTAACATTGGATCACTTGTTTTACTGAGCAGAAGGTTAAGGCAGATGTTTTACACTACTCTGGAAAACTTTTTTTTCTTCATTAAATTTTAAAATATTGTGAGATAATATTTATGTCGATACATGCCTTAATTCTCCATTTTAACTAAGTGATGCCACAGTAAACACAGTGAGCAAAAAAAAACCAGTCAGGATGAATATCACTATATTTAATTAAAATACTCCCCATCATATAGCATTGTGTTACATGGAACAGGCCATGGAATTTTGCCACAGACTAGAATAAAGCTGGTACTTCACTCACAGCCATCACACAGTTACGTGAGAGATGCTCCCAACCACCCACCCATTAGGCTCATGGAAGAAGCAGCTTTGCTTGCAGAATTTTGCCACACTAGCACCTTTATCCTAACAGGGCTACAATAACATCACAGCCCTTTGCACAGCAGGATGCCCCTTGGGCTGTTCTTTCAATGCCAGTTGTTGAGATTTTTAGTCACATGCACTAAAAAGAATATTTTTTGTTTGCTAATCTCAGTACAGTAATACAAAGCTATTGATGCTCTGTAGATCTGGTTTGGAGAAAGCCTCTCAGCTTTCCTCATTTACATACAAGTGCCCCCCTTCCTTTGAAGCACCGCAGATCATGGAACCAAACCTAGGAGAAGGAGAGCTGGAGTTTTCTTTGGCAAGTTGGGCAAGATACCCTGACAACAGCTTTGATGAAAGTCCCTATCTCCCCACTGATCTACAAGCCACAGTTCCCAGGACCCTCAAAGGAACAGTGAGGGAAATGAAAGATCTTTCAAAGCTGCTTTTCACTCCGTTGCAGCTCCAAGCCCCAGCTGTCATGCTGAGGTGGTACAATGAAGGGCAAGTCCTTCTGGACAGACAGGCTTGTGGGGCACTATGAGGGTCTGTTTGCACACAGTTAGTCAGAATAGGACATAAACTGATGCTGATTGTGACAAGCACCCCGTGTCCTACCAACATCACTGGAGAAGGCTCCAGGATGCATGAAGGGGCACCTACTTCCCACGACCCACAGGTCACCATGGGGGCAGGCAGCATGTAAGAGCTTCCACTATCAAAAACTATTTGATGACGACAATTATTGTCAGAAATGTTTATTAGAACTACAGTTCCATTTAATTTATTGGCAGAGCCCTGAGGCCCCAGGACCCCATGTCAGCCCCACTGGGGCCATTAGCCCCCCGTCCCCCCCCCAGCATCACTGCAGCAAGTCAGGTCTCTAGCTCTCCACAGCTCTTCCCATGCCCAGCAGTGAGCTCATGGTCCATCCCAGACTCAGCCCATTTCCATCCCTACGGAAGTACTTGATGCCAAGGGCTGGAGCTACCACCAGCCCACTAGTCCCCATGGGGACACATCCTGCTCCCAGCCCCGAGGGTACAGCCACCCATGCAGTGCCCTGACCTGTATTTCCTTAATTGTGTATTTAGTTTATTGTAATCATGGTTTGGATTCCCCTTGGCTTTTCCTTAAGAAATTGCTTGTATTTAAAAGTTTTTAATTTTAATTGATCTTCATATCTGCATGTACCACTTTAAACTTGTGCTTTTCCTATAGCGTATTGCCAAAGCAGTGTCTGTTCTCCACATTAAGATCTATTCTACACTCCAGTGACCATGTCCCCAAGCCCTTGAATGGCAGGCTCAGCACAAGTGGGAAAAAGTTTCAGTATGAAGCTTCCCTTGAAAGGATTAAACCGTCAACTTCACTAAGGATTAAAAGTAAAAAGGTCAAAAACGATTGCTGTCACAGTCTTAACAGCCGGGCATCAGGAGTTTCCTGGAGTTTTCCAAGAAGCTATGACACAAGAGACCAGGGGATACTGGATTTAACCAAATATGCTTTTCTCTCTGGTCCTGGGAAGTGGTGGGATCTGCTTTCCAGTGGCTCACATTGATAGAGGCACTCTGCAGAGCTAACTTCAGGGATCCAATCCTCTGAACTCTGCCATTGAAATTTCTTAAAGAAAACATGTGAATACCATTGTGGCTTCTCCAGGAAAAATTCATCACATACTATGCAGTGTTCACAGGAATTTTCTCAGTCAGGTTGTCAAACAAACTTTCAAAATGCCAGTCTCATTTTTGCAATGAATGTTATCATAAATCTAATCAGCTGCATACTATGCTGGCTGAAGGTCTCAACCAAATTGTAATTTTCTTTGATTTCCCAGCTTTTGATTAAAACCCTAAACCTTTCATATCAACATTTCACTCAACAACTTGGAAAGAAAAAAAAAAATAAAACATTTCTAATAAAGGTCCTCTTAGAAGATTTCAAAACCTTACTCAACCTCCTAAATATTTGGCATGGCTCATCCTTGCAAGCCTGAAATTATTACTCTGCTTGCTCTGGTTTCTTTTATTATGCCATTATACAAGAAGATTGTACTCTGTCATTTGTAGCACATTACATCAGACTTGTTCAGGTACAAAGTTGGACTTCTAGGATGACTGGGGGAATAGAGAATCTCTCATATGAGAAGACAGATTGAAGAGCTTAGCCTGTTCAGCTTAGCAAAATGAAGGCTGTTAAAGGATCCAGTTGCTGTCTATAAATATATCATGGGGTAAATATCAGGGAGATGGGAGAGCCATTCAAACTAAATGACAATGTTGGCCAGGGAACCCATCAGCACAGATTGGCTAGAACTTAATCTATGCTACAAACAAGAAACAGGTCTGACTTGGAGCAATGAGATTTGGGAACAATTTTCCAGTTGAGAGTAACAGCAGCAAAAATCCTAACTGCACTCGC